TCATGGTAGTGGGAGCGGGGAGGAAACATTTAGGAACTAGAGGAAAGTTGTATTTCTCATCATTGTTACATCGCACCCTGGCTGGCTCATCTCCTCCCTGAGAACTCTTTTCATTTTAAACTAATGTGAAAGAGCAAAGATAGTGTCCCAGCTACAAAAGGAAGAGGACACGGAATTCTTAAGTAGTTACTTTGAAAGTGCTGGAATTTTATTAAAGTGAAAACTGATAAATAAATATTGAAATGATAAATTAAGTTGTTCTTTGGAAATTAGATTTTTATAGGTATATATCAATCCTTTTCACCATTATATGACTTCTGACATTTTTTATTTTGTAGTCTGAAGATAAGGCCAAATATGATGCTATCTTTGATAGTTTAAGCCCAGTGAATGGATTTCTTTCTGGGGATAAAGTAAAGCCAGTGCTGCTCAACTCTAAGTTACCTGTGGATATCCTTGGAAGAGTAAGATATTATTAAATTCTGAATATAATTTTTATCTATTCTACTTTAATATCTTATTGTATGGTCATTAAATATGCAGATATTTCTTTGAAGTTATATTATTACAGAATTCTCTGTTTGATTTAATGCATAAAATTATTTTCTGTTTATTTCTATATGGCCTTATTCCCTCTAGAATAAAAGCTTTTAGAATTAGCAATATATAAACCAAAACTTCACTCATATGGCCCCAAAGAACAGAGAACAACTGTGTCATAGGCTTCTCAAGGCCATAAATCTTTATAGAAGCAGTCTTACATTGTTCTCCTATGGAACTGCTGGTGGGTTTGAACCACCAACTGTTTGGTTGGTATCTGACCACTTTAATCACAGTCCCACCAGGGCTATTTCTAGCTGTATGTGTTAGTCCCCTAAAAAGAAACCAAACTCACTGCCATTGAGTCTGTGCTGACTCATAGGACCCTATACGACAGGGTAGAACTGCTCCCATGAGTTTAACTGAAACTCTTAAGAGAGTAGAAAGCCCTGTCTTTTCTTGTGAGCAGCTGCTGGTGGTTTTGACTGTAGTCAGCAGTCCCACTAGTGACCACTAGGCTTTCAGGGCTTCTTAAGCCTCCTACGTGGGTATTTTTAAATGATTATTATTGTACATCTAGTCCTCTGACCTCTCAATTTCTTCTTGTATTTCATTTCTAGAGACCCTCATATTTTACATATGACACTCCCTTGGCTGTATCATGAGCATGGTCATAGGAATAGTTTCGTCTGTGAAATAACACTTTCTGCTAGAATAACGCTTGGTATTAGAAATACTTGTTTTAACAGGTCTTTGTCCTTGATATTTGTAAGACTTTAATTCTTTTGACTTCATTAATATTTTTAATCTAAGGTTACCATACATTTTACCTTTCTTTTGAGTTGACTTCATTCTTTATCCATTTTGGATTTTGGGGTACACAGTTTTATGACCATATTCTTAGCTCTGTTTACAATGTTAGGTTTTCAGCTTTCCTACATGGAGAAATTACAAGTTTGCATAAAGCTAATAGTCTGTGTTCTCTGTGGTCACATGTGGACTGCTAAGAAGATCTAAGAAGATTGATGCTATTATATATAAACTCATGGTCCCCAACCTCAGCTGTGCTCTCCCTATTATCAGCCACTATAATATACTGTATCCATAGTGATATTTCTACATTCCCCCTTTATAAGTCAAGCCTTATACCTTCTTTAACAACTCCAACTCTTTCTTAATTCCCCTCCTTAAACCCATGGAACCAAATCTTGATTACACCATCTTTTAGCTCTCTAACTTTAGGAAAAGCATGAGAAAGCCATGCCTTAGTTTTCTGAATTTTAAAATTGGCATAATAATTCCCAATTTGTAGGGCTATAGGATTAAATTGATAAATGTATGTAAAGTACTAAAATGGTGCTTGGTACACACTTTGAATAACATGGTGGTGGTCGTCACAATATAACCACCAAGATCACGGTCACCTCCACCACCAAAAACATACTATTACTATTAGTGCTGTTGTGTAGACTATGTGCTCAACAAATACTGACTTAAAATCTGCTTTATAATATTTCTTTTTGAGAAGATATCTGAAATACAAATATGAATCTGTCATTTTTTGACTAATATTAATCCTTTAATAACTTCCATTGCATTTAGATGAAATTAAACACGCTTTCTTACCTCCGTCATCTCTCTCACCCCGTACACATTCTTACACTAAATAAAAATTTGTGACTTAAATATCTTCTTTTTAACCTATAAATAAATATATTTTTCTGGATTTAGACCAAGTCTACTAGGGCCTTTTAGGTTTTATATTTTTCTTTGTAAGCCCTCTCAACATTAGTTGGTAAATTATTAATAAAATTCATTCACATGTATCTTTTAATTCATTAGAAAGTCCCAGTATAGGGGAAACAATAATGGGTTTGATTGAAAATCATATTGAAGATCGATTCTATTGTTTAATAATAGTTTCATGATTCTGGATAAGTTATATAGCCTGCTACTTAAAACAAGGCA